TTCTTGTGAGTGAGGAAGGCAAATAGTCTTTGTAACCTCTGTCCTCAACAGCAGAACCACGCTGCTGGAATGAAAACACTGGGAGACGGGTGAGGACCTTGTCTCCATCACTCCATTGCAGTGATATCCATCTGCCAGATCTGGACACTCCAGCTCAAGCTCAGTCAGAAGGGGCACAGCCCAGGAATGTTTCTACCTTCCCAGGTGATTCCAATGGGCAAGCAAGTGTGGAAGCACTACTGAAAAGAGGGAAGGCCATCTGGGCTCTGCAGTACAAGCCCTGAACTGAGCAGAGAGTGGTTGAAGTAGGAGAGACTAGCCTCCCTGATACACCTAGTAAAAAGGGGTTTTCTCCAATGTACTCCGAGGGTATGGAGAAAGGTTTTCTGGAGCTTGAGGAATGTACCATTAAGATCTAGAATGTACCCAAAGGCTGAGGGGATGGAGCCTTAGTCCCCAAACTGACATTGCACGGGAGTGATTGAACCTTAAAGAGTAAGGCCCACTGAATGGTCTTTGGTTCATTGGGCTCGCAGGAAACTCTGGTCTTTCCCCCCCCCGCCTCTTTTGCTTCTAGTTCACCATGTGGTCTCATTACCGTTAGCCAAAGCACCAGGCCTAACTGATCACAGACAAAATCTCCAAAACTTTGAGCCCAAATATGAACCTTTCTGCTTCATACATTTCTTATCTTAGGAACACCCGTTACAGTGATGGAAAGCTGACCAATATGGTCACATTCGCACATTTAAGAAGTTCTTGGGGCTCCATTCCGATTCACCGGAGGACCTAGTGGCACCTGTAATGTTACCTGTACCCTTTGAATCAAACAACAGAGCACAGGGAAACATTGCAGACCTTCCTGTTGGTTTGAGGGTAAGATGGATTCAAAGGTTTCTATAGTCTTTCCCAAAAATTTGATGGCAGTCTTCAATAGGGCATTTTAATTTCCCTTCCAAATTCAAAGCTACCTTCTCCAAGTATCTCTCCTACCTTGTAGAACAATGGAAATCTCCCCCCCCCCCCCACATTAGTATAATGCCATGGTCCTGACATTTCTCAAGCCTATTCTTGAAGGAAGGGAAGTGTTAAGTTGTCACTGTATCTATTAAGAACTTAGACATAGTTGAAAATTGGAGCATGTATGGCTACTGAGCTCCCTGATTGTAGAAGCTCGTGTATCTGGGCATGCTCCCCAGACTCCTTGTGATCAGTACACTGGCCCTGCTCTATATAGAGTATTTTTCCAAGTGGGCTGCAAGCATGTCAGGGATTTAACCATTCATTTCCTCACCCCCTCCTGGGAACCTTGTTTACTTGTCAGTAAATCCTTTAATTGACATCCCTGGGTAAAATGAAAAGCTCTCAGTGGGAGAGGTGACATGGAAGGGAACTGAAGATCTGAAGATAAACATGCTGTGTTAGGTCCATTAAAACATCAGGAGATGGACCTATCACCAGCTGCACTCAGCACTGTAGAGGCACAGTGTTCACAGCATAGCTAAACACTGACTCCTTCCTGCCTACAAAAATGGCAGAAATGATAATGCAAACAAGAGAGGCAGACCTTCCATGAAGGAGCATTGCAATACCCCAGGTACAATTATGGGTGCTTTGTGTAGACCTTCCCTGCATCCCCTAGTATGGTCACCTCACTCCCTCTACCCACCCCCACAGGCACACCACAAAACCGTGGACACATCTCTCCCCAAGCACTACAAGCTGATCCGGTGTTTTGAGTATGAAAGTTACACACTGTTCCCCACAAGGCTCAGAACAGCTATGGACATGAAACCACTACAGGAAAGTGTTGAGAAGCCAGATGGCCATGTGAGTGATAAGGCTGTGTGAACTAAGAGTTACAGAAGCAGTGAGAGTGGGGTGACAGAGGATCCTGTGTGGAGAGAGGTAGATGAAACTCAGAGATTACAGAGCTGGATTTAGAGGGGCACGTGGTTGAAGCAACATGAGCCACAATGTTCAAAAGTAAAACTGATAGAAACTTCTAGGACATAAATCTGCCCTAGACAGGCAAGGCAGGAGAAAAGAGAGAGTGCATCCATTTTCAGCCAGCACAGGTGCCTCTGACTCCAAGTCAATAATTGTTCAAGGACAAGGTCTGTGATGAATGTTCAGAAGATGACCCGTATCTCCAGACAAGGCAAGCAGTGCTAGGAACAGCATCAGATGGTCACAGGGTCATGTGAGAACAGGACAGGAATGATCTCTACGGTGTAAGTTGGATGGTTCAAATACCCCGCTCTCCCACCTTCGCAATGGTACAGCCCTGATCTCAGAAGAAAGCACTGTGGTCCAGGTTAGGCATGACTCTGCCTCTGTGTCATGATCCTCACAAGACCACATATCATTACACAGATCTGCTTCACCCTGTGCTCTCTGACTTTGTTATCAACTTGTAGGAAATGGATGCCCAGGCTCACAGAAATTCTCCCCCATATGCCAAACACCAGTGTTTGTATCCTCACCGAGCTGGGTTTGAATGAATCTAAAGCCAAGATAGCCTTAAACAAAACCTTTAAAATAAACAGGAAGCTAGCTTTTCACACCCCAGTGTTGAGATTGAAACCCACAAGTGGCAATCCAGATAAAGAAGCTATTTCTAACTTCCTGAAACTCCACCTCCACAGGATCCAATGCCCTCTTCTGACCTCTTCAGGTACCCGCATATACATGCAACATATGGTTGCACAGACACATACATAAATAAAAACAAGATTTAAAAAAAATGCTGGAGAAGTCTGTGATTCATGACAGTATTTCTCAAAATCTTTTTATTTATCCATGGTGGTCGCCCAATGCTCTGAGTACCTGTTTCTTCACTCTTCCACAAATTTCATGAAATACAACTCAAAGTCTTCTGCTTCTACTCTGGTAGTTACTCTGTTCCCAGCTACCAAGCTGTGCCATCCCAGCTGCTGGCCACACCCATTTTACCCACACCCACTCACTGTGGTTTAGAAGGGTGAAGGCTGCAACACAGAAGGCAGGGGCAGAGCTGTGAAAGTTTCCATGGTCCCCTGGATTTAGACCCAAACCATCATACTATACCACCAAAAGATTTTTTTTTTTTTTTTTTTTTTTTTTTTTTTTTTGCTATATAAAATAACACAAGATTATTCTATGCAACTAATCCTGTGTGTAGAAATGTTTGAGGCCTGGCTCATATGACAAACTCAAGTGACAACACATGCTGGAGAGGTTGTGGAGAAAGGGGAACCCTCCTCCACTGCTGGTGGGAATGTAAACTGGTACAACCACTCTGGAAATCTATCTGGTGCTTTCTCAGACAATTAGGAATAGTGCTTCCTCAAGACCCAGCTATACCACTGCTAGGTATATACCCAAACTTTGCTCAAGTACACAAAAGGGATACTTGCCCAACCATGTTTATAGCAGCTTTATTTGTAATAGCCAGAACCTGGAAACAACCCAGATGTCCATCAACGAGGGAATGGGTACAGAAATTGTGGTATTTTTACACAATGGAATACTACTCAGCAATCAAAAAGGAGGAAATCATGAAATTTGCAGGCAAATGGTGGGATCTAGAAAACATCATTCTGAGTGAAATATCCCAGAAGGAGAAAGACAAACACGGTATATACTTACTTATATAGACCTATAAGATATGAAAAACATAATGAAATCTATACACCTAAAAAAGATAATCAAGAGAGCAGACATGGGGTAAGATGATCAATCCTCGTTTAGAAAGACAGATGGGATGTGCATTGAACGTATGAGCGCATCTGAAAGACTCTAACTAGCAGTGTTTTCAAAGCAGATGCAAAGACTCATGACCAAACCTTCAGCAGAGTACAGGGAATCATGAGAAAGAAGGGGAGTTAATATGATGGGGAAAGGATAGGAGCTCCACAAGGACCAAATATATCTGGGCACAGTGTCTTTTCTGAGACTGACATTCAACCATGGACCATGTATGGATATAACCTAGAACCTCTGCTCAGATGTAGCCTGTGGTAGCTCAGTAACCAATTGGTTTCCCATAGTGAGGGGAACAAGGACTATTTCTAACAGGAACTCAATGACTGGCTCTTTGGCCTCCCCACCCCCCAAGGGAGGAGCAGTCCTGTTAGGCCACAGAGGAGAGCTTTGATAAAACAGGATCGGATGAATTGGGAGGAGGTCCTCCCTATTAGTGGACTTGGAAAGGGGCACAGTGGAGATGAGGGAAGGAAGGTGGGATTGGGAGGGAATGAGGGAGTGGGATACGGCTGGGATACAGAGTTAATAAAATGTAACTGATAAGAAAAAAATAAAATAAAAAAAGTAAAATAACACAAGATTATTCTATGCAACTAATCCTGTGTGTAGAAATGTTTGAGGCCTGGCTCATATTCTTAGGATGCCGGGCCCATATGGAAAGCTGATTCTGCCAGCTACATAGTGCTTTAATGATTTCCCAAATCCAGGTGCCAGAGTCTTCAGTCACAGCAGAAGCTTGTTTTGAAACAGATTCCTGGGCCTCTCTATAGACCTTCTGAATCACAATGTGAGGGACAGAGTCCAGAAATCTGTGTTCTTAGGCTCAACAGAATTTACACAATGATAATATTTATAGTATATACAAATATTCTTATGTAGTATATACAGGTCTGACTTGGTTTTCTTTGTAAATAAGCTCTGAATTGGTAATGTGAAATCTTAAGAGTTCGTGCAGCTGACCTTTAGTGATGTGGGTAAGGGGCAAAAGACAAAAAAAGTACCTGGACCTGGAGAATACATCTAGGCATCAAAGAGTGTGAAATCATTTATTTCACGTAGCTTGCCCACATATCAATATCATCTTCCATAAAATGTTAATGGCAATCTAACAGATTAACAGTAAACAAACTAAATGTTAATGGCAATCTAACAGATTAACAGCAAACAAACTTATTTCTTGTTTATTGCTAGGCCTCAAAAGAAATGCTACCGGTTCTAACAAAATGTCTGTTTTTATGTTTTGTCATTTCCAGGCAGGAAAGTAACTCAAACAAATCCCAAGGCATAAGGAAATGGGCCTCGTTCTTCTGGACTCCGCAGCACTGGAAATGAAGTTAGCAGCCTTTATTATGTCCCCCGATTCTGCAGCCTTTTGCAAAGCATTTTATCGCCCTTGTGGAAGCCAGTGGGGTTATGCTTCCATCACAATGACTGACAGGCTAACTTCACCAACAGTAACAGCGACAGCCTGCCACGGTTTCTCAGTTATGCCCGTAGAATAGGACCTTCTCCAAACTGTCCCTTAGCCTAGATGAAAATAAAGTGGTAGCTAAAATATT